AGAAAGAGGAGATAGATAAAAAAAATGTTATATTTATCTACTAAATATGAATAATATAGATTCTATATTTAGAAACTCAAAATTAGTTTGGATAAATATAAAAATTTTATAATATTAAAAATTTCTTATATTTACTTTTATTTACCACTCATAATCGTATATATGCTTTCAATGTGGGCATCATTTACCAAAATACTTTTTTAACCTCAGATATACAGTACACTGCTATCGCAGAGATGATTTATTTGACTTCACACACATATATGGCAGCCACAGGCCACATCTAATTACTACTCTGTTCTTTCTAGACAACGATCAGAACTACATGTTCTGTTTCCATCACTTTCACTTCATTTTCTGTAAGTATTTGTGGATTATATATTAAATACAATTAACCCAGTTAGAGACTAGTCACTCTTGTATCTTTGAATGTGACGTTTTGGTTTTATATATGTATTTGGATCTTTTATGATTTATGAATGTAGTTCCAAATTCATGTACTAAATCAGGGGAACGATGAATAATCCGAGATCGGTTAGTCCTTTGGTTTCTTCAGCAAACCCAGATCTATTAGACAATCAACGTCAATCCACTTGTGGAGAATTCTCAAGATTGGAGAAGAATCGAATCGGAGCGAGGAAGATTAAGTTTCATTCCAAGTCTATGCCCCGAGGCTCCATGTTTCTTGAGCAAGATGCTTCTAGAAACTTCCACGACAAGAGATATGACTTATTCATGACCATGTCCGGGAAGCTCGAACGTCAGATATCGAATCTACGTGGAAAACCCATCGAGAGTTCGTTGCAGGATAAAGAGATCACTGAATCTTTAACCGCTGACCGATACTTTGACGCTCTTCAAGGCCCCGAACTTGAAACTCTCAAGGTATTCATTCATTTTTTAGTTGTTCTTATTGTTGATGCATTCTTGTTTTTTTCCTTCCAATATTTATGGGTTTTAATGGAGGATGAGCAGGAGAAGGAGAAGATAGTTTTGCCTGAGGACAAAACGTGGCCGTTCCTTCTTCGGTTTCCAATCACATCGTACGGTATGTGTCTTGG